CATCCATCCATCCATCCATCCATCCATCCATCCATCCATCCATCCATCCATCCATCCATCCATCCATCCATCCATCCATCCATCCATCCATGAATAGTGTTTTTTTTACCAGGAAAAAGGCTGAAGACCCCCATTCGGTGTTCTTGTGTAGCGTGGACAGTGAAAGGCAGACCGTGGAAGTGGACTGCATGGTACTCTCTGTCACCTCCGACGTTTAGAAGGTGCCATCTCACTGGCTGATGCTGGGCCACAATCAAACCAGGTAGAGTCTCGGCCACATAACCATTTATTGCTGAGGGGAAGCATGCATCTCCTCTGTTAATGGACACCTCAGCAAACAGTAACAGCAGACATCACTAGAAACACAATCAGTCACCTGCAAACTTATTGCTAGTGTGGTACCATGGATCCTCTGTGTTGGCCTGACAGGGGGGAGCGCAGTACCTCAGCAGGTTCTCCTCATGGTACCAGCTTTTAGTTTCATCAAAGGTGTGGAAGAGCAGGGAGAAGTCCTGGATACCTGGCTGGGTGTTGATGTTATTCTGCAGGGTTCCAGGCTTACAGATCACAAGTGGACCAATCAGACCAGAATGAATGTCCCTTTCCTAAAGAAAACAAAGAAATGAAGTAAGGATGTTTGCCTCAGGAAGCAGCTTTTAAATTTTCAAGACAACAACAGACCTTGTCCACAGTGGAGTAGTAGGCTCCAGTCTTGCAGTCAAACTCCGGATCTGAGGGTCCTTGTTTCTTGTTTATTTTCCAGTAATAAACCTGAGTCTTTCCAGGAGGAACAGGTTCTCCAGGAACAGCAGGAGGCCCGTTGTTTTGTAGGCCAGCCTGTTGGTTTCGGTCATATACCCCATGAAGATGAAGAGAGTAGGGCCTGTTTGCATTGTTTTTAAAGGTAATCTGTGTGAGGAGCAGACATAGAAGGAGACCTTTGGTTCTTCACAATCAGAGGTAGTTATCCTCCTGTCTTTAACAGAAGTATTATTTCTATCTTAGGTTCATGTGGTCTGGACTAAATGGAAAGTTAATATGGTAAATAAATAAAAGAGAAGAACAAAATACATTTTCTGTGCTTCTTTCCTTATATAGGAGGAAACTCACTGTGAGGAGATCATAGACTTCAGTTCTGATAACAGGTCCCATGATTCCCAAGTGTTCTTGAAGCTCTCCTCGATAGACTGGCTGCTTGAAGGTTTTATCCGTGTAAGCACGATAAACCACCTTCTTATATTCCGGAAGAAATTTTCTCATCCCCCTTCGCATCTCCCTGATGAGAGGAATATAAAGCAGTCAGTGTTTCTGTTCCAATAAGATAGAAGGATAATTTTTTTCATTTTCGTATAGAGCTACTGTTTAAATCAATAATCTTTGCAAAATATCCAAAGCTTGGTCAGATTGTGTTTAGCGTTAGCAATGTGAGCAGCGTTTTTCTAAGTAATGCAATGGGTTCCTAACAGGATACTTTTCTGTGCTTTCACTACGCAATTTTAGCACATGAATGTGCTTTGCTCTAAACCAGCGGTCTACAACTTTAACAACCCAAAGAGCTATTGTTGCACTTCGTCCAGGTAAAAAAAAGACCTATGTAGAGCTTAAAATGTTACACAACCTTTTCTGATTTTTTTTTT